CACGAGTGTTGATATCGATCGATGTGGAACGTAATTCTTTGCGGACTGAACGTTCTAAGCTTGCAGGATCTTCAGAGAATAGCAGTTTTTTTCCTTGTTGCTTCTGGTATTGCTGGGCATACACCTAAAAAGTCAAGGGTCAGAAAGGGGGTTTAAAGAAAAGTAACCTAGAATTATTAGACTAAATCTAATGGCGATCAAAGCTCCCTGACAATGACGCCTAATTTGATATCACTCAAATATTTACCCTAAGGAGTGACTTACTCTCTCAGTCAAGAGATCAGTTGTAGTACTTAGGGATCGAATCCACAAGGAGCTAGGGAACCAATAAAATCTAATCAAGTAAATAATACTAGGTTGCTTTAAATTAAATTGTAGTAATGAGATTAAAGTAAATTGGAATAATGATCCTAGTTAAGGTGTTAGACATAGAATTCTTATTCAAGTATTAGAAATTATAATCATATAGGTGCTAAATAGTTGTATGCATAATTTTGAAGAGCTTAATCACTAAATAACAAATTCATTAGGCATTCACTTTACCGAATATTTCTATTAACTAGATCTATTGACCCAAACAAGAGTGTTCGATCAATAGTAGTGTCGAGCGATTATACTATATGAATATCGATCAATTCAATTTTCAAGACGTCGATTGATTTCCAATGAGAGTATCGATCGACGCGCTCCTAGTTAATCTTAATGCGCGAGTTAACATATACTCACTAAAGACCCCTGGATCAAGCTATCGTTATACTCTAGAAAATTCTAGCTTAATAGAATAGATTCAAAATATTTAGTATTGTCTAAAGGTTGCTCAAACAATCTAAACTCCTTAGATCAGGTTTCTAGTTAGCAAATCTAGAACATAGAGGACAAAGCACATTGACATAAGGCACCATTTCATCAGAGAATTGGTTGAAGACAATCAGGTAGTAATTGAGCTTGTTGTTACTGATTTACAGTTGGCTGATATTTTCACTAAACCCCTTGATCTTAATCGTTTTATCACTCTAGGAAATGTTATTGGGGTATGTAATCTTGATTGTTGAGTCAAGTGATGCAGGATTTGAGACAGGTGTTGGTTCAGGATGTACATATGATTCAGATTATGTTTGGCACTTGAGAACGCTGTGGAAAAGAGCCTCCTGTTGTACCGTCAATTCTGCTGAGAGGTACAAGTTTTCACTTGTGTGAATGTTCAAGAAAACCCGTAAGAGTTAACATCATCACCTCACAAGAAAGGGTGAAGAAGTTTGAGAAAAAAAAACAAAAAAAGAGGATACAAAGAAAAACAAAAGGATAAATGGGAAGCACACTCACGTTGAATAAGGAAGTGAATAACCCACCAGGATTGATGAAGGTACAACGGTGTGAAAGCTAGCCCTAAAAAGACTATTGAGTCCACCAGATCGTTAAATCTACAAGTCTCATATGTGCAGCTTGAACTAGGTGCTGAGTAAGATCAGGCACAATATATTCTAAAAGGTACAAAATCAATTCTATTTTCAAAATTCATTCAGATTAAGGCCAACTGTGAACTGTTGCACGTGTTTAATTGCTACACTGAAAGTCTTATGATACATTGAGATTCTAGAATGTGGTTGTCTTTGCTAATGGGTTTGGATGAGAGAAATTAAAAGCGCATGTTCATTAAGGGAAAGTGAACGAGTATAGGGACCAGATGTGCAATTTCAGAAAAAGTTGGTTGAGTTTCCTCTTAGTGGAGATAGTGGGGTAAAACCCTAATCGGTTTCATTCTACTTCAACGGATTCCACCTCTCAATTTCCAAATCATGAGCTTATCTCTCTCTCTCTCTCTCTCTCTCTCTCTCTCTCTCTCTCTCTCTCTCTCTCTCTCTCTCTCTCTCTCTC